AGAGAGTCTTCTTCCTGAAGGGGGCGGGGCAGCAACAGGAGGTCATGTGAACAGTATGGGGCGTGGTCAAGTGTAGGGGGCGGGGCCAGCAGCAGCTAATTTAAAGCGACAGACACTGAAGCCGCCAGAACCAGACTGAACCAGGTCTGTAGAGTTTTAGCTGAAAACCTGACACAGATTTCCTGGACATTCCTGGGACATGAGAGACTTCTGTTCATTTGCTGTAAAGAGCCAAATTATTGGAGCTAAAAGCCTCGACTCTGGATCGGCTCCAGCCGAGGATCTAAATCTGTCGGCGGTTCTGTGTAGCTTCAGGCCCAGACGAGCCTTAAAAGTGAAACCCTGGAATCAAAGCGAACACGGAGCCGATGGAGGGCGGCCAGGACCTGATGGGAATCTGAGAGCTCCTATCTGCATGAAAACACTGAGCGCAGCGTCCAGAGGAGCCGCTGATATTCCCTCAGCTGCTCATTTACGATGCGCTGTGCAAACATGGACACGCTGAAGGTCTGAGCAGCTGAGCAGGAACACTGAGGCCTGGACGCTGAGACCAGGCTGAAGGCTGAGGAGAGGTCAGCCGGGTCCGGACAGAGCTTTTGTTTTCAGTGGCTCCGCTCTGTGCAGCCTACAGTCTACCCTTCGCTCTGAAACACTCCGACGCAGAGCATGAACAACACACTCGGTATTTATAGCGACGAGGGGAGGAGGGAGGCGGCTGGGCCTCGCCGGGCCTATTTCTGGACTCTGCTGCTCCATCACTCAGCCTGACAGCTCCGCGCCGGTACCAACAATGCTCAGCGGCCTGTTTATCTTCCTGCGGCCGGGTCGCCAGCTCCAGGAAAGCTGCACTTCCAGGACGGCTCTGATCCAAACACTGTCACTCTGTGACCTCACAGTCACTTTATCTGACCTGCTTCCTGCTCAGAACCGGGCCTCGGATCTGCTGGAACCGTGTTTACATCAGAGTCCTGATGGTTCAAACGGATCCAGGCTTTGATTGTGTTCAGAGTTCTGGGTTCTTGGCTCCTCTTAGTTACGTTTATTTGATTTTTTTAAAGATGTTTTTTGGCCTTTATTAGGAAGGACAGAGAGGCAGACAGGAAAGTGCAGCAAAGGTTCATGAGCGGGACTCGAACCCATGACCACTGTGTTGGGGACAGCAGCTCAACCAGGTGAGCTGTAGCCCCGCCCCTTAGTTACGTTTATGAAGAAACACTGTGTGGCTAAAGGTTAGCCTTTGAAAAACTACTTTTGTTGAGTTTAGGCACCAGAATCTACGTGATCAGGTCCAGGCCCTCGAGCTGTGTGGTTAAGTTTAGACAAAAAACGACTTGGTTAAGTTATTTGGTGAAGTTTGGTCATGAAAGGTTCTCGGGTTAAAACTGAAACGACTGCGATTCATTTTCAGCACCAAAGTTATTTCATTTCAGGTTTGAAATGACTTCCGCTCATTTTAGGCATCAAAACTACTTTGGTTCAGTTCATAAGTAACTGGTGAAGTTGAGCACCATAGCTACTTAGTCAGGACGAGGCACCAGAACCATACGGGTTGGGTTTAGGTTACAGAACTAACTGGTTACATTTAAACACCAAAAACTACTTGGTTAAGTTCAGTTAGGGCACAAAAACTATTTGGTAAGGTTTAGACTATTTAGCTAGGGGCAGTAGAACTCCATGGGTTTGGTTTAGTTATTTGGTTCACTTTAGATGTTAAAACTACTCGGTTAAGTCCAAGAACCAAAACCTACACAGTACGGGATCAGGTTTAGGTTGAGACTACTTGGTTACATCCAGACAACACCTCTACACCCGCTGAGTTCCCTGCTGGTTACATTTAGGAACCAGAACTATGATTTACTCGACTTAGTTATGTTTGACCACATAAACCACTCAGTTAGGATCATTCAGCAAAGTGACTTTGGTGAAGTTCAACACTCAGACCAGCTGGTTGGGTTCAGACACCAAGAGGGCACAAAGTGGGTCACTGGAGGTAAAACTACCAGGTCGGGTTAGAGAAGGATCAGCATTGGTTGAAACACTTGCTGTCGCTGTGTTTACTGCCGATAAGCTCCAGCAGGAGGTCACCAGGTTGGTTTCAGGCTCTGCTTTTCCTGATCTTATTGATCTTCAGGAGGGCGACCCGCTGACCTGCTTCTGGACGCCTGGACTGGTTTAATCCTTCAGGAAAGTCTGCAGAAAAACCACAGAAAGCATCAGAAGTCTGCATCTGAGCCCTAAACGGTCACAAACCTCAAAGTCTGAGAGCGTGAAGGTTGGACCGGACCAAACTACCTCCAGGGAACCAGCGGGGAGGGTTGGTGGAAACCATCCAAACCAAACTTTGTGTAAACGACTCGACGTCAGCAGCTGATTGAGAAAGTCTGTGTTCAGGAGGTTTCTGTGGAGGTCTACGCTCATCGGCCGGCGCTGCAGATCTCCATCACTGCCATCGGGAATGAACTCTTTATTGTCTCGTAATAAGAAGCTGCTCCGTGAACTGGCCCCACAGCAGCTTTCTCTCTTTTTGGTTAAGTCCCTTCAGCTAAAAATAATTTCCTCTGAACTCTGAGTGACTCGGGCAGCCGAATGAAGGATGGCTTTGTGTGTGATAGCGGGCTGGAGGGAGGCCGATACTGGTATCTGGAGCAGATTGGAGGAGTGTTTACTGGAGCTAATGGTGTGTGTCATCGCTACGCAACTACTGGGCGATGTTGGCCGGTGGCTCTGGGGCGCGACCACAGCTTGGACTGAAGTCTGCAGCAGAGAGAGAAACACAGAACTGTAACGATGTCATGATCCGTTAACGTGCTGACTGCTCTCTGAACACCTCCGTCTGTTCATCAGAGTCAGAACATGTTAAAGGTCCCGTCAGTCCAACAACCATGTGGAGTTTTGGGCGACCCGGTAGCTCAACCGGATAAGACGGCGACCCGTAAACAGGCTGTAGTCCCCGACGCCGAGGTCAGGAGTTCAAATCCCGCTGCAGGGCTCGCCCCCCTTTCCTGTCTCGCTCCTCTCTATGAAAAATAATACAGGTAAAAATGATTTAAAAAATAACGATGCTGAGTTTTGCTGCTGTAGAAGACGGAGGAAAAAAGAAGGAAAGTATCTGGTCTGTTGTTTGAATGATGAATCCGAGGCTTCAGGATGATGTGAAGTGAAGAGAACGAAGTCAAACTGCTCGAGACAAACAGAAAACTGCAGAGAAGTCCATCCGACAGAACATTTCTGGCTTTGGGGAGTTATTTTATTTTAACAGAAACGGTGAAAAGGAAGATTTGGCTAAAAAAGAAATTAGTTGGATGGAAATATCTCAGCTACAGATGAGACAGGGTCACAGACAGACTGACTTTCTGTTTCCTGTCCGCTACGAAACCACCACCGTCATCCTGGAGCCACTCGTTCTCTCCAAATAAACTTATATTATATTATATTATATTATATACGTTATAGAAGAACTATTTTCTGCAGCCTGACTTTGTGAAGAGTGATAACCACTAAATGTTAGTTTCCTAGCATGCTAAGCTAAGATGCTAAATATGGAGCCGATGTTGGCGTTGAATTTTTTTACATTTTTGAATCAGAGCTGCTCGAGTCTTGTTCAGTTAAATTATTTGTTTTTATTTTGAACTAATTTGTCTCCTCACAGTGAAGAAACTAGAACATGACAGAGACCCAGTAGTACTCCCTTTGAGAAGAACGAAGTCGCTGTAACAGAACCAGGCCCAGACGTCTGTGTGGACCGGTCGGGTTGACGGTGGAGGAGGTCCAGGTCCAGAGAAACCTGCAGAGAAGATGAAGCCCAGACTACAGCAGAGAGAGGACACAGCGTCAGAATATAAACGTATGAGAGTCGAGCAGCTCAGTGCATCGTGGGAAGTTCCAGGTTCTGTCGTGAAATGCCACATCAGAACCACGACTTGTTCTCCTGTGTACTAACACGTGTAGAATTCAACATCACATGACATTTATATTTCTGTTACCCGTTTGTCTACGGTTTGGTGAAGTTCTCGTCTTCCAGGCGGCTAAAGATGCTCATCAGTGAACAACAGATTAAATAAGCTGTTAACGGCCCAGTCAGAGGGAAGGTTCTGTGACTGCCGACCACAGATCCAGTCTTCTAACAAACTATCAGTAACGTCTGTTCAGTTTTACTCAAACGGACTTTTTCTGTGTCACTCGGTCCTCTCCACCACCAGGTCTGATTTAGTCTGAAGCGTCTGCTTTCGTCCAGTCGACTCGCTGGAACGACCAAACGGACTCCTGTGTGAAAGAGAAGAACTGAACGACACCGGCAGTGTTTAGAGTTCTGTTCAGGAGAATAAAGTCAGTCTGGGTGCTTTTAAAGTTGAAGTTCTTGACATGAACACGACCAAAGAACAAGTCCACCGCCCCCCTAGAATCGGGCCTGAAGTCGACCTGCTTTAAACTCTTCTGTCAGAACCTCGGTCTGGTTCAGATTTACTGACTTTACAGATTCAAGATGCTGATGTGACGCTCGTTAAACCTGAGCTTGTTTAAACCGGACTTTCCTTCTCTACCTGCTGCACAGCCTGTTTTCAGGCGTCTGTTTCTGTGCTTTGGTCCAGTCGACCCGGGTTATCGTCAGCGAGCCGACGCCTCCGTTCACCTCCGTGTCACTGTTGTGACTGATGTCTTTTCCATCCTGCTGCCTTCTCGCAATTAAAGAGGAAGAACTCAATCCCTGTGACCTGGACCTTGACTGGGCTGTTTCCACTAAACACACATGAAAACACACAGCGGCCCGACCCAGCTGCTCCGGCTCCTATTTTAGTCAGATCCCTCCTGTCCTCCGTTCCTCAGGCTTTTAAAGGTATGCTGCTTCCTGCTCGCCTTATGTAAGCAGCGGTTTGCATATTTAATGGCTTTGAGTGAACAAACTGAATCCATCCTGATCTTTAAACAGCCTTAAATCTCTGCGTTGTGCTTTTTAGGACGCAGACTCGTCAGCGAGCTCCATGAAAGGACAGAAACGAGGATGTTTTGTAGATTTTTATTAGCGTTTTCAGCAAAAAGTCTCTCAGAACTCCTCCTGGTTGCTCCGGGAGTCTCTGAGCTCGGTGAGCGCCGCCAGAACCTCCTCTGTCGGCCTCCGGCCCAACTGCTGCCCTCCTCGGCTCCTCACGTTCACCGAGCCGCCGTCGCGCTCCTGATCCCCCACCACTGCACAAAACACACATACGCACACACACACACACACATATACACACACGCACACACACACACACACATATACACACACACACACACATATACACACACACACACACACACACACACGCACGCACACACACCACACACACACATACACACACACGCACGCGCACGCACGCACACACACCACACACACACCACAACACACACACACCACAACACAACACACACACACACACACATTACTAAAACAATAAAACAACAATAACTAAATCTGAGCTTTAAACTGTGATGTCTCATCGAAATCATTTGAAGTTTTACAAAACGTATGTTTGTACGAAACAGATTCTGAAAAAATAATAAAAATAATTATTTGCTTTTGGGCACAACCAGGAAACAAGAACAGACTGAGCTGTGACCAGAAACACATTTTAAAAATCACTAAAAAATACAATCTTAAAAAAAGTCAGAAACTGCAAAATAAAACAAAAAATTATCAGATGTTTGACTTTCTGACGGTCCTTGAACGCATCATTTGTGACTTCATCTGCAAAAACAAACAGATCTAAGCTTGAAATGTTAAAAAATGATGTTTCTCGTTTAGGAATCTAAACAAGATTTATTTATTTTTGCCTATTTCTATCCATCTATATATATATATATATTATTTCTTGTGTGTTTTATTCTTTATTCTTATTCATCTTATTATTCTTGTTTCTGTGTGGAACAGGTGCTCAACACCTTTCACTGCGTGTTCTACCAGGTAGAACTGTGTTTGTGACCAATAAAGGCCTGAAATCCTGAATCCTGAAGCCGTTTGCCCGAAACTAACTCCATAAAAACTTAAAAATTCTTAATAAGTAAGTGAGAAACGATGACGGACTCGGCTGTGACCAACGGCTGCACGATGAAAAATTTTAAAAAAGAAGGAAAAAAAAAGGGAAGAACGTGAGTCTACCGACAGACGTCTGAGGACGATGGTCAGAACCAGAGCAGAACCGGAGCAGAACCGGAGCAGAACCGGAGCACAACGACTTTATAACTAGTGAAAAACGAGTCCACGGTGAGGAGACGTGTGTTGGGAGGGTTCAGCAGCGCCACTTATTCATCTTTACCAAATATGTAGTTGTACTGGGCCAGCTGAGCCGAGCGGATCTTCTTGTTTAAGGTGGCTCCCTGGTCGTCGCTCAGATCCACCATGAAGCCGGCCTGGTGGAACCGCTGGACCACCTTAACACAGAGAGCCCCTTCAGATTAGATCTGGGATGTGCCGCTCGCAACCAAGGAGCAAATGAATCACGACAGGAAGATAAGGAGTCAGAAGAAGGTCCGCCGTGAGGCAGCTCACCTGGCGGCCGTACGCCTCGCTGCTGCCCCCTACTGGAATGACGCAGATCTGAGCCGGAGACAGCCACAGAGGCCTGCAGGGCAGAGACAGCGTCAGCCAGAACCAACACAACCTGACTCTCAGGACTTTCTCTGCTCACCATCTCCCTCCGAAGTTCTCGGCCAGGATGGCGATCATCCTCTCCAGTGATCCCAGCACCGCTCTGTGGATCATCACCGGGCGGCGCTGCTGTCCGTCCCGCCTGGCAAGGAACCACAGAAATGGGTCAGACTATAGATCATCATCGTTTAACGGAGACACTGTAGAGCTGAAGGGCTCTCACAGTAGACGGTTTATTTTAGTTCATACTGATAATTACTGATGTTTATTTGTTTATTTTCTATAAAAACTCTCAGAACAAACGCTGATCTGGACTTAGTGAGATTCTAGTCAGATTTACTGAGAAAATCTGGTTTCAGCTTCTTCAGTGAGTGTGTTCTGGTTTCCTTCCTCTGACAGTAAACTGAAGGTCGTTGGACTGAACCAGACGTCTGAGGAACGTCTGATCCACGTTTTATAAACCAAACAATTGATCGATTAAAACAGAAAACAATAAAACTGAAATAACGCCTCATGGTGTCCAAACCGCCCGGATTCAAACCGAGTTGTGTCGACAGATTACTGGAGGACAGAAAGCTGCTCCAAAGATTAAATATTTGGCTCTTGACAAATCAAACACTTGCTTTCTTGTTCTCAGATCTACGGCGGATTTTCAGATGTTTCCACTGGTTTCTCTGGTTTCAGACCAGTTTTAGGGGAACAACACTGAGGACGTTCACCAACAGATGATTCTAGAAACACCTGAAGATCAACCACCAGACTGAACGGTTTGACAGCTGGAGGCCGAGCGTAAAACAAACCGGATCTCTCTTTACTTCCGTGTTCAGAACTTGTGCAGCTTCATGTTTCAGGACGTCACCGCGTGTCCTCTGGTTTCTGAGGGTTCCATCTGCTCTCAGAAACTCCTCCAACACCTTCTGATCACTTATGTTTATGCACATTTCAAGAGAACGTTAATGCAAAACTCAAGAGAAGCTTTTTGTGAAGAGTTGATGACGGAAACAGCTCTACTGGATCAGAACCGAACTCGTGGGTCACGTGACTGATCAGGATGTACACTGGAAGCCATCCTGAGGACCTCTTCTCTTTACTCTGTCTCCTGCTCAGTCTGTGAGAGCGAGTGCAGCCCACAGCGCCCCCTGCTGCCACTCACTCCCTTTTCTTTCTCCTGTTGCCAGAGTTAATGTCATTTGGCAGCTATGTGGAGGGAAGGAGGGCAGAAGAACCCGAGGCAGAGATTTACAGCAGAAACAGGGAGTGTGCTGCTGTGATCCAATAAGGGACGAATCTCTGATCAAACCAGCTTCTGTCAAGTGGTTCCATCTGATCTGCAGGAGTTTATCTCTAGAAGCCCGAGTCCACGCGACCAGGAACGTTCACGACTCACCCGACGAACTGAAGGTCGAAGCGGATCGGCAGCTGGAAGTCCAGCTGGATGGTGGCGCACTGGTGCTGCCGGCCGATGGCGTCTTTGATCTGGATGTCGATCTGAGGGAACATGAGTTACTGTCAGGCTGCAGCCAGCATCTACAAACGAGCATTTCTGTGGATTTAGGAGATGCTGACGGCCTGATTGTGGCCGACGCGCCCTCGCTGGAGGAATGCTGTTGCACAAAAAGGAAAACCGAGGTCATCCCGAGTCGGGATGGTTCCGGTTTGATACCAGAACCACTAAAAATATTCCATGAATTAGAGTTTAGTTTTTACTGGTGTGAATGAGGAGCAGAAGGTTTCTCTGCAGACGTTGGTGTGACTTTAAGCTGCGACACAACAAACTGACTGGAGGTCAAGAAACAGACGAGCTCATAAATGAATAGAACGTTCAACCTGTGAACCCAGAAACCCACCAGCAGCTCAGTCATCTGTAAAAAAACAGTCATCAATTAAAAATCACCAAAATGTCACAATTCATCAAAACCACAAACTGAATAAATAAAGTCAGATTTTCAACTTCCAGACGGTTCTTGAACTCATCGTGTCCGTCGGCTCCTCCACTGGTCAAACTAACCAACTCTAAAACGATGATATTTCATAAAACCATCCGATTAAACGTCTCAGTTCTAAAACGTGAGCCGTTGTCATGACCTAGGTTCTGTAAAAACTAATTTATTTGTGCTGCTCAGTTTATTAAAATGTAAAATGTGTCAAGTTTGTGAACTTTGGATCGACTCCAACAAGCTGCCTCCCCCTGTTCTGGTCTCTATGCTAAGCTAAGCTAAGCTAAGCTAAGCTAAGCTAAGCTAAGCTAACTAGCCCCTGGCTGCAGCTGCATATTAATGAGTATTTATGATGATGAACAGACTGGAGGGAGCACTCCAGGTGTTCTCGCTGCTGATGACCAGCATCTAAACCCGCCACCTCGGCACCACGCGACCCGCTGACTGACCTTCGGTCCGTAGAACGCTCCATCTCCCGGGTTCAGCTCCCAGCGCTCGCCGAACTGCTGCAGACCTCGTTCCAGCTGCTGCTCACACAGAAACAGAAACAAAGCAGTGAGAGAAGCCAAAAGGAGCTCCTCAGAGCGCATCAGGAGCTCCATGCTGGTCCTCAGACATGGACCAACATGGACCAGCATGGACCAGCATGGACCAACATGGACCAACATGGACGTAGATGGAGGTACATGGACCAACATGGACCAACATGGAGGTACATGGACATAGATGGAGGTACATGGAGGTACATGGAGGTACATGGACCAACATGGACGTAGATGGAGGTAGATGGACGTAGATGGAGGTACGTGGCCACATCATCACAGTCTCACCAATGAAAGCAGAATTCTTTGTTTGTTGCAGAATCTGATTTGTTTTAATGGTTTCATTGCAGATCTCTGACTTGTAGGAACAAAAGCAATTTTTGAAGAAATGAAATGATTCCGGCTCAGATTTGGACGACTGGTTGTCAGACATGATTCATCTGAGGATCTTCAGAAGGTTGGAGCTCTGATGATTCTGTTTTCTGACTGAAACATGTTTTTACTAACATGTGGCCGGCTTTAGGGTTCATTTATTCAAACATTGACTCCGTGATCGTGACAGGATTGTTTTGATTTTTCAGACATGCCAAAAGATTTCTTTCCTTTTTGCTGCATCAGCGACAGTTCTTGCTTTGTGCTGCCTGCAGTTCACCTGCAAACAGCTGATGGCTCTCAGGTGTGCCAGGAGCTCACAGGTTTTAGTGTTTTTGCAGAACCTGTTTGGCTCCAATGATTCATTTTTGGCATATTTTTAAATGAAGTGGTTTTAATGAAACATGAAGATCTTCAGCTTTGATGTGGTTCTGTTTCTTCAGTGGGTCGCTCTGATAAATGGGCCTGTTTTGGTGCTTTTTCTTGTCTCTACACCTTTAACAGCAGAACAGGGATGAGGTTCTGACTGGGTGCTCACCTGCTCAGCGTCGTCCCACTGCTCGGCCTCCCCGAGGCACGGCGTCGGCCGGGTCGACAGCAGGCAGTGGAAGGAAAACCCGAAGACCCGATAGACGCTCCGCACAAAGTCCAGACAGGACACGATCTCCTCCTCCAGCTGTGAAGACATGAAGAGGACGGGAACACACAGCAGACAGCCAGAGGGTTAACGTCGACACCGTGAGCTTGCTGTGGGATTGCATCAGTGTTCAGGAGGTGACCAGTAATCATGTGAATGTGATCTGAGAGGCTGTCAGCAGACGAGCTGGGAGCCTTCAGGAGGACGTGGAGGTGGACGCTGAGCACAAAGAGCTCCATTCATGGCGACCCGGCCTCCTGGAATGTCTCAGCTATCTGCTCAGCTCGTCTAATCGCTGCCATGCGCCTCCACACGTGTCCTGTTAATGCACCGGCAGACGTACAGGACAAGACAAGAGGCGCTTCCTGTTGTACCTGCTCAGGTGTGCAGAAGATGTGGGCGTCGTCCTGGCAGAACCTGCGGACCCGAGTCAGGCCTCCCAGAGCTCCGGACAGCTCGTTCCGGTGCAGCGCCCCGAAGTCGGCCCAGCGCAGAGGAAGCTCCTTATAGGACCGGACCCGCTGCTCGAACATGAGGCTGGAGGGGAGACAAGGGGGGTCAGGAGCTGCAGCAGGTGCACCAGGGGAACAACGACAACAACAACAACAACAACAACAACAACAACAACAACAACAATAATGATAATAAAAACTGGACCAGTCAGAACCCCACAACCTACCGATCTGTTTCATCTTTAAAGGAAATCTCACGTCAGATGTTTAACTTTCCTACGGTCCCTGAACCTCTCATCTGAGAGCAGGTCCGTCCGTTAACATCTGAACCCCAAAACCAGCGACGGGTTCAGAAAATCTGCAAAACCATTTATCAGAGCAACAAACTCTAAAAACACAAGTTCTGTTTGAAAATGTGGCCTAAACGGTTCTACTTTGTTAAAGTCACGTTCTTCTGCAGGTCCAGTCTAAAGTAGACTGAGTTCTGTTCCTGATCCTGAACCTGAGACCGACTCAGCCGTTACCAGCATACACAGAAAAAACATCCGGATTTATCCAGTAAATAGTAGATTTGGTGGTTTTCCCCGTTTGAACTGAAACTAAACCAAGTGTGAGCTTAAAGTCGTGACGTTTTCTGTTTGATCATCTTCATAAAAACCGTTTAGAATCAATAGAACCACAGCGAGAACCTGCAGAAACCAGAACGATCAGCTTAACACTAATATTTCATCAGAATCACTTGGTTCACTGAGAACTAAAACAATGAACCGTAGTCGGCTAAAAGCTGAAGGTTCTGAAGGTTCTGAGCTCTGATTCTGCTGCAACCAGCAGCCATGAGCACCAACATGGTTTCTACGTCGTCTACCAACATGTGAACAAAGCCGACGTCACAGCTCTGAGCTCAGATCTGGAGGATTGTAGATCTGCTGTTGAGGTCAAAACCCACAACCTGGTGATCATGTAGAGACGTCTGTGGGACTTCTAGGTTCGCGGCTCACCAGTGTGCCGGACAGTTCATGGGCTTGAGGGCGAAGGTCTGCGAGCCCTCCGACGTGACGGTGAACATGTTGTCGCTGTAGTGCTCCCAGTGGCCCGAGCGCTCCCACAGCGCCGTGCTGTACAGCGTCGGGGTCACGACCTCGGAGAAGCCTCGCCGCCGGTACTCGCTCTGCAGAGGTCAGGACAGAAGGAAGGAGGAGTTTAGACCCAAGGATGAGCGGACGTGTCCTCAGGATCAGAGGAAAACACGGAGCAGCACTTTATGACGACAGAACCCAGGTCAGATCTCAGTTCTTCATCATCAGGTGGTTTCAGCTGCATGAAGCAGGTCTGCTGAGGTCCAGGAGGACGTGAGCGTCGCTGCTTCGTTCTGCTCAACACAGAAACACTGAAGGCTTCACTTCTACAGTCAGAGCAGCACAACGCTGGAAACAACTGACTGTGATGTTTAGTAGGAAAACATGCAGCCGTCCTCAGATCTGTTCATCTCCTCCCATTAAAGAAAAGACAAAACCCACAGCAGTCCCTCAGATAACTGGAAACTGGAAAACGTAACAATAAATGTGCTCAATTATAATTCAGTGAAATCAGACATTGCTTTGAACTGTGGTTGAAAAGAATAATTTAAAAAACAGTTTCAGAGTTTTTTATTAGTTTTTATCATATTGGAGTTTTAAATATTTTCAAAATAAAAGCACCTAAATGAAATGGCCCATTAGATCCACTGAAGGTAAAGGAACCGTGAAGCTGAACTGATCAACTCTATAACCAGACGTCCTGCTGCCAGCTCCAGAATAATTCACTTCCTCCCTGTTTATGACTCGTCTGCCTCCATCTGACGGTTCTACGGGCCAGATTCAGTCCAGAAGGTGGCTCTACACATGAACCCACCTTGATGAAGTCGGTCAGCGTGTTGTAGATGTGAGCTCCTTTGGGCAGGAAGAAGCAGCTGCCTGGACTGACCTCGTTGAAGAAGAACAGCTCCTGGTCCTGTCAGGACGATAGACGCCGGTTAGAGACGGGAACACCGGACCTCTCAGCCCGTCTGAAGGTTCCTAACGTTACCGTCCCGATGCGTCGGTGGTCCCTCCTCCTCGCCTCCTCCTGCTCCTTCTCCCACACCTCGGCGTCCTTCTGACCGGGAAACGCCACGCCTGAGAGGCGGGTCAGGCCCGACGGCGCCGTCTGATTGGACAGAGTCACCGAGGACAGCTGGAGAGGGGACGGTAAAGAGAAGAACATCTGTGATTGGTCTGAAACCTTTACATCATTAAACATGAGATCACCTTTATTCATCCTGAAGGAAAAACTAACGAAGGTTAGAAACACACACAGAAGGTCAGTAATTAAACAGAAACCAGAAGA